GTGCTGTCCAGCTTCGGTTGAAGGCTTTGTGGTAGGATGGTCGATCCAAGGTCTGAGCAGAAAAGGTAAAGCCATCTGGAAAATGGTCCCTGGGGCAGTTTTTTGGTTAGTATGGCAGGAAAGCAACTCAAGGCTTTTCCAAAGCAAAGGATGTCAGGAGGAAGAAGTTTGGCATAAAACTGTGAGGAAGCTGTTTTCTTGGGCATCGGCAAAGTTAGATTTAGAAGGATCTGCCATTTGTTCTTTCTTGGAATTTGAAAATCTTTTTGTATCCTCAAATAGAATAGTGGTCTAATTTTCTTTATACTTTCCCGTTGTAGTTTTTTGTTCTAATGAAATTGTAATCTGTCACAGATACCTCATGTGAGAATAGAAGAAATGTAATAGAAGAGAAGAGAAGAGAAGAAGACAGCAGCGTGTGCAAGGGTTTGAATCTTGTTCGTACAGAGAGAGGACCCCTCTGATCCCTTTTATAGTAATAAATATAAAAAAATTACAGAGAGGTCACTGAGAATAGAAAATTACAGAAAGACCCCTTCACCTAAAACACAACAAAAAACACCTTACAACACTCCCCCTCAAGTTGGGTTGTAGATATCATACATACCCAACTTGTTAGTTGTTACATAGCTCATCATGGCACAGGGAAGTCAAACCCTTTGTAAACACATCAGCCACTTGTTTCCTAGACTCAACAAATAGTATACAAATTTCACCGAGTGCTTGTCAATCTCAATGTGTTTAGTTCTCTCATGTAGAACTGGATTGTGAGCTACGCTTATTGCAGCCTTGTTGTCGCAGTACAATGACATAGGATTTGAATCCCATACACCTAGCTCAGTGAGCAGATTTTTCAACCATAATAGTTCAGCAACTCCTTGAGACATGACCCTATACTCCGCTTCTGCACTTGGCTTTGCAACCACAAACTGTTTTTTACTCCTCCAAGAGACCAAATTTCCTCTTACAAAGGTGCAATAACCAGTGGTGGACTGTCTATCATCAACAGAACCAGCCCAATCAGCATCAGTATAACCTTCCACCTTGGTATGACCTTGTTTAGTGAAGAGAAGACCCCTACCATGGTGTCTTTTTAAGTAGGATAGAACTCTCTCAGCAGACTTAAATTTGGAAGGTCTAGGTGAGTACTGAGTACATAAACTAAAACACTCAACAAATGTAACATCAGGTCTAGTCATGGAAAGATATAGAAGTCTCCCAATAAGTCTCTGATATTGATGAAAAGTTTATTACTTGGATTCACAGGGGTCTCAGCTGGTTTACATCCCGACTTCCAGTATCTTCAGTAGGTCAAGGATATACTTCCTTTGGGAAATAAAATTCCTTTGTCAGACCGAGCAACTTTAATGCCAAGGAAGTATTTCAGAGGACCAAGATCCTTTACTTCAAACTGTGAGGCAAGGAATACCTTCAATTCTTGAATTTCTTCCTTTCAACTTCCTATTATCACAATATCATCCAAATACACAATCAAAATGGAAACCAACTCACCTTTTCTCTTTATAAACAAAGTGTAATCAACCTTACACTACACAAAACCAACTTGTTGAATAACACTACTGAACCTCTCAAACCATGCCCTCGGAGATTGCTTCAAACCATATAGAGACTTCCTCAAGCGGCAAACCTTATCCTTGTCACCCTATACTTGAAATCCAGGAGGCTGAGACATATACACTTCTTCATCGAGGTCACCATTCAGAAAGTCATTCTTCACATCTAGCTGATGAAGAGGCCATGAGAAGTTGATTGTCAGAGATAACAAGACACAAATAGAATTCATCTTCACAATAGGAGCAAAAGTCTCATTATAATCCACACAATGTGTTTGAGATAACCCCTTTACCACCAGTCTTGCCTTATACCTTTCAATAGAACCATCAGCTTGATGCTTTACTATAAATACCCACTTACAATCCATTGCTTTCTTTCCTTTTGGAAGATCAACAAGGTCCCGTGTGCGATTTTTATGAAGGGCATTAATTTCTTCACATAGCCCTTTTCCATTAAAGTAGATCCAATGCCTCTGAAACAAGGATTAAAATATCGATACGGGATACACTACGACTACAGGTGTATCCTGCCAGTCGTGTATATTGGTGCATATCGCATAGTATCGGCCGATACGCGCCGATACAGAAGCGTATTGACTGATGTCTCACAATAAAAAAAATGAGCGTGACTCGAACCCAAGTTGGTGAATGCCCATTGCCCAGGCGCGCATGTAAATTAACCACAAAGCCATTTGTTATTTCATGTTAATGTGTGCAATAAAATAACTTTTATTAAACTTAATGTTTACATGCAAATAAAAAACAACATACATTTATTTTCGAAAACTTCAACTATGAATTAAAAAGAACAATATTCAAAATTAGTATTTTATAAATTAATGGAATAAATAATTTATAAAATCCACATATATATAATGGATTTTAATTTCAAAAATTTATACAAATAAAATATTCATAATAGAATAATTATTTTATTTATACAAATAAAATTTCGAAAATCAATGGAATAAATAATTTTTTTATACTTAAATATTATAAATTTGCATATCGTATATATCTTAAATTTTTATAAATTATTAATTAATATTTTAATTTTCATTAAATAACAATGTATTTATTATTTACAAAAGCAAAAGTATTGTTTGCAAAGTATTTAAAAATATAATATAAATTGAATCTATCAAATCCATTAATCTACATATTATATAAAAATAATTCTTAACTTCAAAATTTTATAAAAATAAAATATTAATAATGGAATAATTATTTTAGTAATTCAAATTTATGAATTTTCATATGATATGCATTTTCAAAATTTTAATAGATTTGGTATATTTTAAGTTAAGATTATATATTTTTATAAATTATTAATTGATATTTTAATTTACATTTTATAATAACATATTTATTGTTTACAGAAATATAAATATTATTTATCAAACATTTAAGAATTAATTTTTTAGTTGAATTTTTTGCTAATGTTAAAAATAAAAATTGTAAAATAGAAAAACTGATATAATAATTCAAATATAATAGTTGCATATGCTTTATGCCTTACACTTTAATAGATAATAAAATAATATTGGATTTTTGCATGTATTAATTAGTAAAAATCTATATAATATTTGCATTGGACTCTTGATTGATGCACTATTAATGAAATTGTATAATATCCACATGTCCTGTTATATTAATTATAATATTTTTTCATATTATATATATCATTTAATTATACAATTCCTATGTATTTATATATTATTTATAGTTGTTTTGACATTAAACTTAATGCTATTAATATATTTATGGAATTTGTGTGCATTTTCTTAGTGTATCCAAGCGTTTCCATTTTTTTTTTTCGTATCCATGCATTTCCCAAGTGTATCCGTATTCGTATCCAAGTTGTCCGATATGATACCTGATATGGATACTTTAATCCTTGCTCTGCAACACATTTTGGAATAGAAACACTACAAATAGCAGAGATAAAATCACTATAACTAGGAGACAAAGAAGTACTGGAAGTAAAGCGGACAATAGGGTGCTTGGTGTAAGTCCTCACATCCTTACAAAGAGCAATAGGAAGATCAATATCACAAGAAGTAGGTTCAAGGGTACCTGAAGGATGAATTGATGTTAAGGATTTGCCTCATGAGAGTTTGACAGCAATGGCTGCACAACAGATGGTTCCACACATATATTTAGTGGCTGATCTAATGGACCCTTGTAACACTGCCAGATATAACAAGAAAAAGTACGATAAGGTGGCAGAAACGACAAAGGCAACGAAGACTGTTGCTGAGATGGTTGGAGTTGTGGAGAAGGAAAGGATATGCCTCACCTCACCACTACTCTTCCCCTGAGGTGAGACAGGGAAAAAAGGACAGAACTCAAAGAATGTTACATCCATAGAGATAAAGACTTTATGAGGCATAGGATTGAAACACTTGTACCCCTTGTGAGTAGTAGGGTAACCAAGAAAGATGCAAGGAATGGCATGGGAGTCCAACTTACTAGATGCAGGAGACAAATTCTGAACAAATCATTGGCAGCTGAACACCCGAAGAGGAATGGAAAACAATGGGGATGAAGGGAAAAGCAACTGACATGGGTCCCGAGACTGTAACAGACATGATGGGATGCGATTGATCAAGTATGCAGCAATAGACTAGCATCAGCTCAAAAGTGCTTTGAAACACTCATTTAGAGAAGTAAACCATGAGCCACTTCCAACAGATGTGTTTTTTCTCTCAGAAACACCATTTTGTTGTGGTGTTTTAGGGCATGAACCTTGATGTAGAATACCATTATTCAGAAGGTAAGAATTGACATCCTTAGCAGTGCTCTTAGTCTCGAATCTGTTATCTCTTGGTCTTGAATCCCAACTGTACCTTGATTTACACTCCTATTATTTTTGTTTTTGTTGTTTCTGTTGTTATTATTATTGTTATTAAATTTACATGGATGATGGAACATATTCTGTTTAGGTCCTATTTATTTGAAAACTTCTTGATTCAAGGGTACTTGTCCATAAACTTAATTTTGCATTTAAGTTTTCATTAGTTTCATCAATTAATACAATGTCATCATCATACAACAAGCACATAAATTTCCTCCTGAATATGTTTAGTTAATTCATCTATTATTAGTGCAAATAAATAAGGACTAAGCACTAAGCCTTGGTGAAGACCCATTGTAATTGTAAAATCTGATGTCTCTACCACAGGTGTTCTAACATTGGTTATTGCCCCCTCATATATATCCTTGATAGGTCCACATACCTTTTTGGTCTCTGTTAACTTTACTTATTTTAGTATAGCTATTCTTTTAACCTTGGTGGTGGTTATTGCATAAAAAATATTGATTATTTTCTGTTATTTATTGTGTTTCTTGAACAAATAAAAAAGTAATATAAAGATGGACATGGATTATTCAAATGGAAACATTGTAATGTGATGTGATCTGCAGAAAATAATCCCTTTCCATGAGGTCACGTGTGTAAGAAAAGCAAAGACAGCAGCAATTTTCCCTAATGCCATAGAAATTCTAGCTGGGGGGAAAAAGGTAAGCTGGTATGAGGATATCTTCTTTTGTTCATGTACATAATTTCTTTTAATAGTTTTCTAGGAAAGCTTCTGGGTGAATTTGGCCTACCAATTACAATCCTTTTCCTTCACCTACATGGTTTCATATTTATTTAGTGAATTTGTTATCTTCTGTTCTGCTTTCAATCTATTGGCACTGGCTGCCATCTCATATTTTTACTTGTTAATTTCACAGCACTTCTTTGCATCTTTTCTGTCACGTGATGAAGCTTACTGTCTCATTGTTGATGGGTGGGCTCAATACAATGATCGTTTTAAAGCCCAAATAGATTGTCAGGTATATCATCATTATTATTACTATTACTATTACTATTACTATTACTACTACTACATCTCAAGTAGGAGTATCACCAATAGATGTGTAACTGAATAACTAAGTTGTCTTAGTGTTACTCATCTGTTGGAATGAGTTGTGCTCCTTGTTTAACTATCACTATAGTTTCAATAGGTTTTTCTTATTTGTGGAATTCCAAACTTTCAATTTGACTTTAGAGGCCAAGGAAATATATTCTTATGTAGAAAGAAAATGGTAGTTGAAATAAGATGCATTACTTGTCTCATTGTCATTTCTAATGAGTCATTTTTACGTCAGGAGTCGAAATCTGAATCTAGAAACCAAGACAATGCTCTTGTTATATTTGAAAACTTCAAGAGCTTTGAGCAACCAACTAATTACCTAAATCCTATGGACAGGTATATTCTCGAGTACCTTACACAAGCTCAAGTTATATGTTATTTTATTAAGTTGGAATTCACTGTGGTCTTGGTTGCATGTATTTGAGTCAGGAATGAAGATTTTCAGGTTCCAGAAGAATGTAACCATCTGTCTAGTGGTGAAGATGATCCAAGTACATCAACAAGACATTCAGAGGCACAGGAGAATGTGGAAGTAGATGTCAAACCAGTTACAAATGCTGACAGTTTCTCCTCTAGAAAGTCTTTGACTTGGAAGCTTGAGGATGTTAATGCCCCTAAGAGTTAGTTGACCTACTTCTTCTAGAACCAGCGCTATATGTTTTATCAAGAGTGAACTAGTATTCAGAAAGACAGACTGGGGGTTGGACCATCAAGGAGTAGGATCAGATCAATTCAGTTGGAAGGTTGACCTGGGTTGACCAACAATGTAGCATTTGTATGAAATAGCGTTTGTGGTTTTGAAACATCCCGTTTTTTATTAAGAGGGCACATGCCACACACCCCTGATGATTGCACATATTTTAACCTGTCCATAAAGTGTTTATTTAAGGTGCATTGATACTTGTGTGCATACTTGATACATAAAGTGTTTGCTTAAGGTGCACTGAAACAATACTCTGTGTCTATGGTAAGATATTCTATTTAGTGTTCAGAGGTGCAACAAAATCCAGACTACTTATGTGCCCTTTTTTCTAACCTTTAATCTATATTTGGAGTTGAGTGCAATATGCATATTAACATGCAGACACAAATATTGTCATAAAACACACCTTTCTCATGGGAGTTTTTATAATTGACAGAAACCTTGAGGGATCTTTCTGAACTGAAAATTTTGTTTTTAATGTATTCAATTTTTTAGCGCCATATGACTTTTTCATGTCATTTTCTAAAATGTCCATTGTTCTTCTGCAGTACCTGAGTGTTATACATTGGTTGCAGAGTCAAAATTTCCGGTAATGTAATCTTCTTTATTAATCTGGATGTAGTTTTCATTGAAAAGTCCTGCAAGGTTCAGTGAATTGTTGATATATCCTCTACTTAACATTGTCATACTGAAAAAAGCTATTTATTATCTTTTGTTTACTGAGTTATTTTCTTATTGAAAATTTGAATGCATGGGCCACAGATTCAGGTGGAGGAGTTTTTCAATCTCTTTTTCTCAGATGATGCTGTTAATTTCATTGAATCATTTCATACAAGATGTGGAGACAAAGGTATAACATTTCTAACTCCATAAACTTTTCATACTTTATATTGATTGTCCATTTTGTTTAATTAGTGGGTTCTTGTTACAAACTGTTTCCATGACGACTAAACAATTGTATATTTTCTTTTTATTTTCCTAGAACACTGTACATTTGTTTACCTACATGTATAATTATTACATCTTTCAGATTTTCAGTGTACTTCGTGGTATGAACATGAACAATTTGGATGTTCCCGTGATGTGTCATTTCAGCATCCAATCAAACTGTATTTCGGTATGGCAGCCTTTCTTATTTTCCACGATGTGCAGTTTCACGACTGGATTTTCTTTTTTTTTTTCTAGACCATCAGTGTCAAGGCAGCATGGTGAGGCTAGGCAGTTGCCAAATGCTTTGTTGCCTAGGTGTTTAGACATCAACTTATGACAAACCAGGTCCAATTAAATATGTACATGTCTTCCATCTAAAGTAATGGAAAAGGTCACAAAGAACATAAGTTTATCAGATATTAGAAATATAATTTAAAAAATTATATAATAAACATGTTAAGTAACTGGAAAAATAAACAGAAATTAAAAGTATAAGCATAATACAGGGCAACAACTCATTATTTCGAACAATTAAACATTAAATTTCGGGTGGGCGAACAATTATAAATTATCTTTAAGCAAATAAAATATCTAAAACTAAAAATGTGAAATGCACATAATTAGAGGGAGGGAACGATGGAAAACAATAGGGCAGGTGGAACCCCTGTTTAGGAGAGGGCAAAAAAATTATGGAATAAAAATACATGTGCATGTGTGCACAAAACATATACATATTTATGAGAGGAATAATGCAAAAACCAAGCAGCAAGAGCCCTTGTTTTTTGTTTCTTTAATACAATACAGTACTTTCTCAAAAAAATAAAAATATCTAAGGTCTGCTTTTGCTCATAGAAGGTTTTGAGAAGTGGAAGGAGAAGAATGAGAAGTGGCTAGATCAATCAATGAAGTTGTGAATCTCTGGTTATGTACACTTCATCAGTGGTTGTAAGGCAATCTGCTCGATCTATTTTCTTAACCCATATGACTTTTATGGGTCTGGTCAATCCATATGTACCATTTCTTATGAACACTTCATCTACAGTAATTGTAAAGTGTCTTGTCAACCCAGTTTGCCACACTTGGTGTTTCAACATGGAGTGGTGACAGTCGATGTTCTCTGAAGGTCAGTCTGAAGGCAAAATGATCAAATTTGGTTGGGAAGGAAAAGAAGTGGCTGGACCCTCAGAGGGGCTGCGCCATGTACCCTCTGGAGAGGGATTAGGCCATCATAGTTTCCCCAGTGAAGGATCAGTGATCTGAGAGGAAAGAGAGAGAATGAGGGCTTGTGTCCAAATGTGGGAGAGAGATCTTGGATCCCACCCTTACATTTGAGAATTACTGTTATTTATATTTTCCTCTTTTCTTAAGTGGAAAAGTTTCTGGAATCTTTTATGCCATGTCAACCAAGGTGGCCAGTATGTCAGCCATTAGTTTATTCTTACAGTACTCCTATAATTTGTTCTGAATTACTTCTTGATAACCTGGGTTGGTCATTGGGCTGGGCTGACTCAGTTTCAACTCAATATGGATTAAACTGGATCTGTGCCAGTTCACATGTCTATGCTCTTATACTTGGCAATCCCACCAGAACACCTCATCTGACCTAGGCAACGTTTTGACAACTATGCTGTAGACATTACCCTATTTTAAGTTTCACTGATATTGTTAATTTCTCTGAGTTGGATTCAAGGTGCACGATATGGTCACTGCCAGGAGAACCAAAAATTTCGAGTTTATAAAGACAGGTTTGTAATCTGTCTCCATGCCTTATTTTAAGACTTTGATATTACATTTTGTGGACACCTTCTCCTTTTTATTATTTTTTTCCTTTATTTTTGTTATCGAATTTTTTTTTCTTTCTTTTTCATATTTATTCATGTTATATAAAGAGATCATCTTATACATCTTATACTTATCATGCCTTACAGTCGATTGCTTTTGATTTCTTTCTCTTTTTTTTTCACTTTGATGATTTTCCGTTGTGGAAAAGTTATTAAACTATAAGTCAACTTGTTCCTTTAGACTTTCTGTTTTACACATTTATAAGCCCTACCACTAAACTTATCAGGAAAAAAAAGTGCTATGACTAAAACTGAAGGTAAGCTACCCAATTTTATAAAATCCAACTAATAAGACATGAATCTAGTAATCAGAAAATACAAGCTATAAACTTGAGCTAATTTATAACTCAAATGACATGGACCTTCTGGTGTGGGTGTCAGGTGTGGATCTGTTAATTTGTTGCAAAATATCTTATAGCATCTGGGTGCATTTTGTGGGACAATTTGGAATCCAATGGGTGTTGGTTCCTTTCGTATACTAGGGGATTTGGCAAGAAAGAAATAGCAGGATATTCAAAGGAGAATCTAAGCAGAAAAAATGATTAATTGGAAGCACACAAAAGATTACTAGTGGGGCTCTGATAATGATTGGGGTTGGGTGATTGGGAATGATGGTTTTGTAAATTGCTGCTTCATAGTGTAAAATCTAATTTCACCTTTCAAGAAAAAATATTTAATTTTCAATAATACAAGAAAGATGTATTTAATGTTTTAGATTCATTCCATTATTAATATCCATCAACAGAAACATTAGCAACAAAAGAACCATAAGTTGTGTGTGAATGGTATATGAATTAATGCTGTGTCTGGTCTTAGCATTAAGCTTGGATTTGATGACCGGCTTGATCAAAATTTTTCTATTGGATCAGCTAGGAGCTTCTTTTCCCTTGTTTTTGTCATCCTTCAATATCTCTTAATTATGTAGAACTTTAATATATCAAAGTATTGCACCATCATTTGGTTGGTTGATTTTTACATAGAACTTCAAAATTTCCTATGAGATTGCTGCATCGATAATGGTTACTTTGTTGATACACTAACCTTTATTTCTGCCAGACATTTGGTTGTTGAGACATCACAAGAAATCAATGATGTACCTTATGGGGATTATTTCCGTGTTCAGGTATCGGACAATACCAATTGATGCAATAAATACTATGTCAAAATTTTCAGATACCCTTAGTATTTATCTCTTCTGTCATTTTAAATGTAAAATATATTCTATGGCTTGATATAAATCTCAGAAAAAGTAGTGCAAGTAGCATGTTAATCATAGTTTCCTGCTATTCCATATTTTCTGCAAATTATGATCTATGATGTCGGATTGGTTCAGTGTGTTTTGGGGATAGAGAGAAGGTTTTACTTCACTTTATAGAGAGTATAATTAGCAGAGATATGCCATGCAACATACGTAGTTCTAGCTATCTATCTAATTGTGGCAACATGTTCTATTGTTTGAGACGTGAAGTATTAATTCTGACAATGCCTCTCTTATTATATACATTTGCATGTTTCTGCTTGTATTTATATACATATATGTCACATACATACACTTCCATTTATTTTTGCCCTTCTTTCCCTGGTTCAGTCTATCAAAAGTCACATCTTTTTCTCAAAAATGGTAAACATCTTTATTTTTTTTTATTTCCCTTTGTCTTATAATTCAAAGTTAGTGCAACACCTTTCACACTTTAAAGACCTGATCCAAGGATTTTAGGATGGTTGATTTGTATTATGATGCCATCACCTACCTTCTTTTCTTCACCTACGATGTGCCATTCATTTTAACCTTTTGTCTTATAATTCATAGCCAATGTAGCACCTTTTGAACTTCCAAGATCTGATCCAAGGATTTTAGGATGGCTGATGTTGTATTGTGATGCCATTATCTTCCTTCTATACCTCATATGCCATAAAATACGTATTTTCAATTTTTTTTTTTGAAGAATAAAAAGGAAATTCATTAAATTGAAAAAATGCAGTACATCTCAAAATACTGGTTGTCTAGATGGCAAACAATCTGCTTAACAGAATTACACTGAAAAGGAATCAAAATTACATGGATTTGCAATGGTAAAATCTCAGGCTGATAAGTGTGAGAATGTGAGTTTGAGTTGGAAAGCAGCTGCTTTATGAAAAATTTTAAACAATTCCAAGGGTTAGGTCTATATCCAGTCCAACCCTCCCAAGATCCAGGATGGTTGGGACCAGTATTGGGTGATTGCCCTTTTAGTTGAAAATGCATGTTCGAAAAGTTTAATATAACATAGGCTATGCAGATTCATTATGATCTTTAGTGATTGCCAAATTAAATTTTGTTTTATGAGAAATGTTCTGCACTATTTTGTTTTCCCTTTTTGATATCAATTGTATTTGGAGAAAACCAAATAAAATGTGTTCTATTGCTTTTTTCTCTGTTGTAGATAACAGATGAATATTTTGAATCTATCAGATATTCCAACTACTCTATTTTGGTATTTAGAGGATTCTACTGGTTATAAATACTTGAGGTTGTTTTTTGGGTTCTGGTATGGTATGGTCATGCGAAATTTGATCATTTGCACTTCAACAAGAAAGAAGCTGCTATAGATAATTTTCATGGAATACTGTGATTTTCTCATAGTCGAGGTTTAGAAATCCTTTATTAGGGTTTCAAATATGAGCCAGTTATTTTTCAACTGGCTTGGACTTGTTGTAAATAAATATTGAAGAAACTTGCTTTCCATAGCCATTGCCTGATGCTGGTCCGTTCAAGGTCTTCCTCATGTTTTTGGTCTTTGTGGATTTCAATAGAGAAGAGGCTGTTCTGACTTCTTAGCCATCCTAGTTATCAATTCAATTTGAACATCTTGGTCAGTCGGTCTCTTTCTGTGGGGGTGGTAATAATCGTATGATTGCATTGGCGTTGTATCTTCTTATCTCTATTGAGAATCATATTAGTAGTTTAGTACAAACTTGCTATATAATGTGTAAGACATTGTTCCATGGATTCATTCTTTTTAGCTGTAGCAGCATTTACATTTGTCCGATTCATTAGTGGATCTGTCACCTTAACTAAAGCTATGACTTATGAGCTCTTTTTGAGTACAACTTTCTGTAGGAGTAATGTGGAAACAGGGAATTAATTACCAGTGTAAGTTCCTAGCATCTATCAGCCTTACTGGAAAATCACCTTTAAAGTAGTAAGAAGGTCCTTAAGATATTTTTTATTGTTAGGGAAGAAACTAGAAAGTCTGAATTATTCTTCTCCTTTTCTATTGAGGTAATGAAACTTGTTCGAGGCTTATTAAGTCATCTTGTTCATCTTTGGTAGATTTACTATTTACCATTTATTTTGACAAGGATTCAATAGATTAAGATTTGACACTCATTTCGGTTCAAGTTGATAAAATCCTTGTGTCATTGGAATCATAGAAGATTGGCTAACAAAGTAATATTCAATTACATGTCTAACCCTTTCTTACCTGCATACACTTTCTCTATGTGCCCTCCACATCGCTTTGTTTGGTATTTTACTCCATGTGTGTCTTGAATGCCATTTACCTTGTACTCTTGACTCTTGTCTGTGACTGTGCCTGCATACTGATGTACTTTGGTGCAACATCATTATGCCTTCCATGGCTTTTCTTTTCCTCCTTCCAATCTTAACATATATTTCAAATCTCAAGAACGATTCTCTTCTAATTTTTTGGTGAGTGGGTAAATCAGGTGGAGCTATATTGAGTAAACTTCTGTTGCATTCATAAAGAGTAAACTTCTGTTATAATCTTTCTATTTCTTTTTTACTGTTTCAATAGAAGTTTTTTGGATCTGTTCACGATAAAAGATGCTTTTCTAATTTTGTATCAGATGATAACCTTCTATTAGGTTGTCTGTTAGTCTTTTATTGAAGGCATCCTGCACTTTTCTTGGTGACAACTGTCAATATGTCCACATGTCTTTCTTGGTCAACAAATCATTCTTCTGTTGCTGACTCATTGCACATCTTCATGCCATTTGGATGACTGAAGCCCCAACTTTCTAGTAGGTTAAGAGAAGACCGTACAACTCCCAGAAAATTGGTGGATTCTGAGGTGTAACATGGGAATATACAACTGCAGTGTCAATAGTGAATACTGTATGGAAACGTGAATTTTAGGAGTTACTTCCAGCATAATATACAATACTGGATGAATTGATATTTGCCACATCTTAAGGACACATTTTTTTGATAAAAGTAAAGTATGAACTTCATGGATAGATTATCAAAAAGTCAGAATCCATGTGCACCAAAGCTCTGCACAATGGGGATATACAGCTATTGTCAATTCCAGTTCATGAACAAATTTTTCATAAGACAAACACAGCCTAAGATGTAAAACCTCCTTATCCATATGGAGATAGGCTATGGATAAGAAATTTCCAAACACAGCCTAAAATCAGATCTAACTGCAATTTTTCCAGAAAGAATTTCTAAGGTAGACTTTCCAGCAAGAATTTAGACCAAGACAGAGATGTTAAACATCTAAATATTAAAACCTGCTTGGCATCTTAACTTGTCTATGAAATGATTTCTATTTAAATATTTGGTCGTTTCTTCTTGCATTAAATATAAGTCAAATTATCTCGTGTAATGCTATAGAAGTATTACAAAATGGTCCTTGAACCAACATAGGACATCCACTGGTCTTCTGTAGACAGTATTTGGCCTTTTCTTCTTGCATTAAATCTAAATCAGATTATATCATGTAATACTATAGAGGTATTACAAAATGGTCCTTGGAGCAACATAGGGTTTTATATAGAAAATATTCCAGGACTGTTTTCTCTTTCAAGCATAGAATTTTTATCAACACCTCATTGTAATACAGGAGTATGACAACAGATCAAATTCATTATCATTAAGTTCTCTTCAAGGAGATTATTTAAGTGAATTTATTTCCATTTGAAAATCAACTATTCACGGTTGTGGTACATTTATCCTCATAAATTGCAGGATAGCTGAAGAGCATGTTTGTTTTCTTTTGCCATATTGTTTGAAAGGTTTATAGTGTTTCATGATATCAGTAGAAGCTGTGCCTACTGTTAGAGAATGCAACCTTCTTTTTATATGATAGTGCTATATATCACTATATACTTCTCTGAATTCCAGGGGCTCTGGGATGTTAAGAGCAGTGGTAATGAAGGGAATGATTATTGCATTTTGCATATCTATATAAACGTAGATTTTTCTAAGAAAACCATGTGGAGAGGTATGTTTTTTGCTTTTTATTTTTCTCTTTCTATTTATTTTTTGAAGCATTGTTTTTTGGGGCATATTTCTTGATATGTACATATCTAAACCATGTTGTTATATTTCAGAAACAAAATGTTTATGAGTTTTAGCTCTAGAATTAATAACAATGAACTTAAGTGATGCCCCTTCTTAAGATTGAAACTATAAAAATATATGCATGTGTCATGTTAAGATTTTGTCATTGGAATAAGTACTCTTAAGATACAAATGTTATTTTAATTAGCCCATATATCCAGTTTGTGTCTACTGTTCACATTTACTCTTTAAAGCTCCGTGCTTAAGGTTAAGGTGTATCAAACTTATGATTGTAGTTTTGTTTATTTCTTTTCCCATATTTTCTTAGTAACAAGAATGATTCGAAGATGTTCTATTGAAGAGAGAACTTAGGCACCGGGGCCAAGGGAGACATTGATTTGATTGACAGAATGTTTTTTCTGCCTTGTTACCCTCTACACTGATGCTGGAGTTCTATTCTCTCTAAAAGCTGTGTAAATTTTGTACATCATTAATGTTTTATAATTAATAAAGCTTATGATCATTTATAAAAAAATGCTGGAGTTTCATTTCAGTATAAAGACAGGAAAAAAAGAATATCTTCAAATCCTATAGTATCAGCTTTTTAATCCTTGCAACCAGATTATATATTAGCTTGGACTGTTGAATGTTATGCATTTATAATTTTTCTTGCTAATTATTTGGTCTTCCATTTCCAGTGAAGTATAAAAGATCTTAAATCTCCTTCCTACAAAGTTGGGTGTGGTAAAACTAGATCTTATCTTCAGAATCATTGAGGGATGTGTATGGGAGAAGAAAGTTGGGTTGCCAAGCATGTCTGAACAAAACAATAACTGTATTTCCTTGTATGTTAAAAACCTTAAAATATATTTCTTCTGTTTCTGTAAGCTAAATAAGGAAAATTAATTCATTATTTACTTCGAGAAGAATATATTGTAATCTTTTCTTGGTAGAACACTTTTAAGGAAGTAACTTTTCATTAATAACCAAGGGAAAAGGAAGGAGTGTAAATGAGATAATGTACAATTAAGGCAAAAAGGCCAAAATACAAAGATCCCATCCAAACTTTACATGGACAAAGTATTACCACTACAAAAAGGCCCTTCTCTCACCTGATTTATTTATCCATTGACCACAGAATTTAATTCCCTTGGAATCTTCCTAATGTAGCAATTCATAAGAGAAATGACATCTCTAATTTCATTGAGAAGGTGAGCTAGTCTCCAATGACCATTGCAAGCACTTTTAGCTTAACCAATGGCATTTCTTGAAGTCTCCAAGGACTTCTTTAATTTCTTGGTAGGATTTTTTTTGCCCTACTTTGTCCTTAGTATGTCATCTGTAATCATATTCTGATTTTCTTTGTCCAAATTTCCTCTTTTAAAATGTGCATCTGAATCATTATTAAAACTTATCTATTATACATGCATGTTTGTAAAACTTGGATATGATATTTACTGACAAGTGCTAAAACATTGATACAGGGAAAATTGAGCAGTCCACTATAGATGAGTGCCAAGATGCTTATTCAATTTGGATAAAAAATGTATCTCTTTTGATCTTTTCTTTTGAACCCTGCAAGTTTTGAAGAATCCTACTGACAGCTAACTTTCGAATTTATTTCAGGCACATGAATTATTGAAGCAAAACCAGCTTGCAAAGCAAGAAGGTAGGTTTGTTGAAAGGCGTGTAGTAGTAGTGATATATTTTGTGTAGTGGTGCAGATGTATATATTAGTGAAAATGATGTCTACTTCAAATAGATTGATCTTCTCATGTTTTGCATGTTCTTTCTATTTTCTTAATGCAAACCATGCTACTAATACAGTTCTAACTGATGCTGCTCAATTGGAGAGGCATGCTAACATTCAGGAACCTTCAGAAGGGTTACAAGATGTGAGGAATCATGCAGGGGTCCAACAAATTGCATCTGATTCCATGGATGCAAATAAGCAATCTGGAAATCCATTTCAAGGAATCTTGAGTGACACAACATCAACTGTGTCTTCATTTAGAAAACCATTGGCAACATTTTGTTCCTATTTGAAAAGTCAAAGCCATCTTCCACTAATTTTAGTTGTCACCTCTGTTTTGATACTTCTGATGATGCAGGTATGCAATTTATATGTTCTATCTGTTATCGTGCATGTCAGTAAACTGTAATTAAGCTGATTATTGAATTAATGCTCACTATTGACTTGATAGGAGTCTGGTTGCATCTTAAAGGAATAGCCATATTAGGAACCACTGTCTTATTATCTGATATTTACTCATATTTTTCTCCTTCCACTTTGCAGCTTAGCATAGTCGTCCTGTTAACTAGAACCCCACAAGTCCATGTTATTCCTCAAGCGGATTATATTACTGGTATTGGAAACCATGGAGATAAAGTAGAGGAAATAGCTTGGTTGGAGAAGCGGGTTAACCTCCTCAGGGATGAGATAATCGTGGTTGAGGCTCGAATAAGGAAGATGCAGCATGAGTATTCTGAGTTGAAAGCGCACCTAAAAGACCTTGAACAGCTCAAGAAGCTAAGATAAACACCGGCACTCATGAATTGAAACTGTATATATAACCCTTTGCATATAAAATCCAAAGGCATTAATTTCTTGTTTCTTCTTTTTTATGTAAATCAAAAGAAATGATTGATCGTTCCTAAAAGATTTTATTCATAAATTGTTAGAAATCTGAACGCAGCTAGGTATTCGTGGGTTACCCATTCACTGGAGTTCATATCCGAACTATCATTTATCCTGTGAATATGATTGTATCCCAACCATCCTTGGAATGATTTTATTTTCTTTGGCTGAAGGACTATGTTGAAAGTTCT